TGGGGGGGGGGGCAGGCCTGGGGTGGGCAGTGGTGGTGCTGGGAGGGGGATATGGGGGAGGGCTTCAGCCACCCCAGAATTTCTCTGCAAACTCCCAGTAGCTCCCCCTCCCAGTGCTGCCGCCACCTGCCCCAAGTGCATTGTGGCCCTCCCTCCCCCCTGGGAAGAGCCTGGTGCAGCTGCTGGCCCCAGCCTGCAGCTGTAGCCTGCCCCACCCTGCCCCATGCAGGTCCAGGGGCACACGCTCCCCTGCCATGCTGTCCCGGAGTGCATGCAGCAGCAGGAGCTGTTCCCCCTTCCCATGCCCCCCAGACAAACCATGGCTGGGCAGTGCCTACCCCAGCCCCACTCCCTCTCTTACCACTGGGGGCATTGATCTGCAGCCCCCCACCATGCCCCTTCACTCCCCCTCCCCTTCCACCACAGTAGACTTACCAGCTACACGCAGCTGTATCAGAAATCGGATCAGTTTTGGCCAATTATGCCTCTGCAAAAATTGGCTATCGGTATCGGCTCCCAAAATCTATCAGTGCAGCCCTGTATTTTACTTGGCTAATCCTCAGCCAGTGTAAATCACTGTAGACCTACTGAATACAATGGAGTTGCACCAGCTGAAGAGTGGGTACTGTGCATTTAGATCACACATGCTGTGGGGCAATGCTTTGCTTCATTAGTCCTAACTGAGAATTCAATAAACTTTGAGTTGGTAAAAACTGATAAACTATGTAATAAAATCAACACAAAACAGGAACTTGATTGCAGCAATTTTTTCCAAACACCCGATGAAGTCTCTGATGAGGCTTGGGAAGGCCTGAGAGCTAAATGGAAGGTACCACACTTTGCTGATTTTCATCCTCTAAATGTCATCTTAAAAAAAAAAAAAAGAAAAGGAACAAGAAGAAACCATGATTACGACTTTATTCTTGAGTGTCAGTTTGTGTTGGGAGATGGGTGTGTCTTTACCTCCTTTTGATTTCCCGCTTCCCACCCCCAGTAGTGACATTCTGGCACGATTATCTGTGGTTTTTATTCTGAGTTGATTAAATCATTTATTTATTAGTTTATAAATGCTGCCACCTAGTGAGGTAAGTCTGGACCTTTTCAGGACTGCAGTTTGTAGTCTGCTAGAGGTAGTAAACAACATTTTGTGGATCCCTGTAAGAAGATGCTGCACAGTCATGCTTTCCTAAACACCGCTGGTCTGAAAGACACAGTCATCAAATATGGAGTCCTGTCCCTGGCCCGTTCCAGGCTTGGGGACCCACAGACTGCAGGCTGAAAAACTGAGAGCAATATATAGTAAAACAAATTTGCACACTGTAAGAGGGAAGTCCTCAGGGATCGGGCCCAGAATTTGTGAAGTAGAAGTTATACCTCATTTTTATTCAGTCTCTAGCTGGTGACTTCTTAGCACGTTTGTTTTTCAGCAGCTGGGCCCAGGGTGCTGCTGCAAATGGATGAAAGAACTAAGAGCCAGATTCTTTAAAGGGATTTAGGTGTCAGCTCCCATTGAAATCAATGGGAATTAGGCTCCTCCATACCTGTTAAAAAATCTGGCCTCAAGTTCTTTGTTAGGCTAGGCTGCTCTCCTTGGTTGGGTATTTGTGGAGCGGTGTAAAATAGATTGCCCTGTAAAATGGTCTGACACCTCCCTTCTCAACAAGAAATGTACAGTCATTTTCTCTCTGGACTTATTCGTGCTTCTCCTTTTGTATTTTTACTTATAGAGCAGCTGTAGGCAGCTTTCCTCCTTTAATTTTAGTGCCTCTGAATTAAATGATTTCTTCCTTACACATACTCAAGTTCAGCTTTGTTGAAACGTTTTTCTATGAAGAAACCATCCTGTCAGAATCTGTCCAGTTAGGAGGGGGAGGAGGGAAGGGGAGTACCATGCTCTTGATCAAGTTCCTTGGCTTGAGTAAACCCCTCTAGATGCAAGCACATGTTTTTGCGATGTGCTATATTCCCAACCCTGCAATGAGCCCCACTGGGGCTCAGTGCAGGCACTGGGCTCTGCCCACGTGCTTCTCCCTGTAAGATTGCAGACTCTCAAGTCATTATTTGGGCCTCAAACTAAAAAAGAAATATGACCTGTAAAATCCTGAGATCTTCTGAGATACCAGGCCTATTTTTAGCCTTAATCATTGAGTTTATTATTGTCTGTCTGTTTTTTCTGTAGTTGAACAACATGCAGACTCCTTAGTCTCTTTCTGCTTTGTACTTTAGGTAGAGCAAGTCAGCCAGTTGGCAGTGTTTGCAGAGGCAGCGCTAGACTACCATAAACAATCCACGGAAATTCTGGAGGAACTGCAAAGCAAGCTGCAAAACCGGTAAGAAGAAACCGGATCAAAGCATTTTAAACAATGTTTGTAGCTTATTTTCGAGCATGCAGAAAGATGTTGAAGCAACAAAGCCTCCACCACCATCTCACAGATGCCTATCCTTTTTCTATATCTCTGCACCTTCAGTGGGTTTCAGTACTTCAAACATTTGCCATCTGGTGACTTCTTGATGCTGTGTAGGTCTTTGAAAGACCTGTGGCTGTACAATGAACTCTGCCCACTAAACGTACAGGGGCATCCTTGTCTTCATTCAGAACTCTTCACCCACATTTTCAGGGTTAATTGGGAGGTTCTCTCTCTGCTGGTGGATTTTTGTTCATACAAACTGATATGGCTGTGCATTTTCTCAGCCACATTTTTGAGGTCTTGTATTTAGGCCAAATTTTTAACAAGGTACTGAGGGATTTTTCATAAAATCCTAAGGCATATCAAGAAACTGCCAGTTGGCTGGAAGCACAGTTTTGATGTGCTTGTGTTGATGACTCACCACAGAGACTTTTACATAATACTAATGGAGAAAAATTTATTACTGTTACCACTGGTTATTTAGTTATTTACTAGTTAGAACCAGTGGGGATATGAGCTCTCCAAGTCATCATTCACTATGTTTCTGGACTTGTCATGTGTAATCTGACTTTCAGTTACTCATGAAACTCAGTGGTAGTTGTAGGTGTTCTGCACTTCTGAAAGTCAGACTCTTAATCTTTGTCTCAATCAACATGGCTAAAAAACTGGGTAAAAGTGAAAAGCTGCTGAAAATGAAATGGTAGATTGCAGGCCGGCCCTTCAGATTGAGTAAAAAATCAAAACATAAAAAGCAACCCACCTTGTAGTCGCTAAGGAACAGCTTCATACTGCGTCTAGTCTTCCACAAAGAAATGTCCTAGCACTCTTCCTTTGTGTTCCAGAATAAATGTAGCATCTAGTCAGCCTAAACGTGACTTCAGACCAAAGCCTGTAATAACAACAACTCTGGAAATTGGTGATAATCAGCAGCACAATGGGATTTCATACAGTTCTTCAATAAAATCACCAGGTGAGCCTATGACTGAGAAATCAGCATATTGATGCCTTCGTTCTATGGAGGGATTATAGGCGCAGTGCTTGTATATTCATACAGTTCCAGTGCTGAGCCCATAAGACATTTATTGTTGGTTGCCTATGCAATTTGGGCTCAGTAGCCAAACTTGGGTGATGGCTGGTTGACACCCACGTTTGAAAACGGACTCTGTTTTTATTAACTTTTGTAAAATAGTTCTCACACACAATTTGGGAGTAACACAGGCCAATACACATATAAGCACGTATTCTTTCATTAGCAAATAATGGCTTCTGACTCCACAAAGCCAGCACGTTGTACACACTTAGGGTAAGTCTATGGTGCTCTATATATTTAGGTCTGCACCTGCATTCTAAACATTAAAGCACCTTGGGTCACCTCCTAGCAGTAGTCAACCCACCCCTGGAAGTTTGAGCATCAGGATCGAAGGCTAAGCTTCCCCCACACATCCATCACCCCCAGTATTGTATTTAGCCCTCACCTGAGCTAAGCAAAGTGAAATCCAGGATATCTGCCAAATATCTTTGTCTTTGCTACTTGGAGCTAACACAGCAGGAAAGACAAGTTGTGGTTATTCTTCCTTGAAGATCTCTACTTTGATTTCATGTTCCTGTCCAGCAAAGCACTTCTAGGAATCAGGTTGGCTACTGCTTGTCTCTTCTGTGCTGCACCAGTGCACAACAGGAAGGGAATGTAGACACGGAGGGCAGCTTGTGGTTCAAGGTAGCTAAAGCAACCTTAAGAGTTGGCCCAAAAGAAAGTTGTAGACATGGCGGGAAAGGATTGCCATGCCTGTGGTTTTATAGGTATCACTAGTTCTGGTGCATAGACTTTGACTGAACAGAAAAGAGAAAATTTCAGGTTTTTCTAAAATTCTTTGCGAGGTGCTTTGATAGTAGTCCATTTTAGTCTTGTCACTGTTCACTGTAGAAGCTAATTGCAATAACTGAAATAATTTTATTTCTTACCTAGTCCATATAGGAACGTTTTATGTCCTGCTTTATTCCTGCTGAATTATGAGAAAAGGGAAATAAAACAAAAAAGGCAAATGGGAAAGAGGAAAAAGCTATATCCCTTTTGCCACAACCAGGATAGGTAAGAGCCTGAGAGTACAAAGGAGGCAATGATGCTGAGGTCCCCTCCTCCCCTTGGCTTAAAAGCTAGGAGCTGGCTCGTGTCCTTGAGGCACAGCTACTCTCTGAGCAGCTTTTCTGTCCTCTAGCTTTCTTCGCTCTTTCCAGTTTCTTCTTTCCTCCTGTCTAGTTCTTTCTTACAGACAGCTTGGAGGCAAATAGGGAAAGAGTTAGTTAGAAGTAGAAAACTGAACTGTGAGGCTGTATTTCATACTTCCATCAGAAACAGGCCACAAGGATAGGAGTCTGGTTTATTTATACAAACCTAACTACGAGTTCTTTTGCCTCCTTGCTCTTGGTAGATGAAGTTCCTGTACAGTGTATGGTCAACGAGATGGATAACACTAGTTCTGTATAGCAGAGTAAATGCATGGGGCCAGATCCTTGCCCGAGCTCTCCCGCAGGCTGCAGGAGAATTGCCTTAACCAGGCAGCTAGGGATTCCCCTTGCATAAAGAACATTCCAGTTGTCTAAAGCGGACACGGGCCCCCCTGCAATATTTGCCTAATATCTCAGTGGAAGAGAGTGTGCTTAGAGCTTATTCCTACTACAATGATGATTCCAGGCTGCACAAGTTACATTGAGCATAAGACTACCCACCAGGTGCATTTCATGGAGCTTCAGGTCTTGCAGATTTAGCGGTATTGAGCAAAAAAAAAAAAAGCATGTCTGAGAATTTTCTGTGCTGCAGGTGAGCATTGCTACTTCTCATGGCTTTGATATAGGACTTTTCAGTCCCAAACTAGAGATGTTCTGTTGCTTCTAACCAGACCTACCCACTGTGCTGATGTGCATCTAGGTTAATTATCATCCACAGATCCCATCCTATGCTTTCTTTCAAGGAAGGCTCCAAAGAAAATTAGATAATAATTAGATTAGAAAATTAGATCAGATAGACATCCAAGTTCAAGGATAAACAAAGGCATGTATCCATGGGCTTGCGCTATTCATGGGGATGCTGGGGTTACATATTCTGGAGGGATTGTGCCTCAGAAGCAGCACCCCTTCTCAAATGGCTCAATATGCAGGGGTACGGCTGGGCAATGCACTGTGCTTCTCTTGGTCTCATTCCAGTCTCCTTCTGCTCCTGGGCATCCCGGAGAATTCACTGCGAGAGATCACTGCAGTCCTCATGGGGACGGCAGGAACAGCAACTGCAACTGCAGCTGCAGTGAATGGGGGAAGGAGCTCCCTCTTTATGGATGAGAGCTGGTCACAACCCAAGCAATCCAGGGCAGGGGTACTTGCCTCATTTGTGAGTAAAGCACCACACCCATTTGCAGCAGTATGTGCATCAACCACCTTTCCATGGTGCAGCAAAAATGTGGCACTCTTTATTAACAATTCAGCATAAACTGTCTAGGCCTCTTCCAGTAACCTGTTCAAAGTATATATTCTTCATCATTATGTTTCTGCCTTGGATAGGCAGAGAAAGGAGATGCAGCTGGTATTAATCATCATTAGTGTATAAACTGTAGAGTAAAAATGAGGATAAAATAGTGTATGCATTAAACTGGCTTATAAATCTGAATTGAAGACATCTGAATTCCTGTGAGGAGGAAAAGGCTGGTTTGAAAGTAATGATTAGCTGAAGTCAAAATACACTTTGTTCAATGGGATGGGAAAGAAAATCTGTTCTCGTTCGTTGAAGCTGTTCACAAAATTTTGCATCAACTACCACATTACCACTTAACTGGCTCATGACTTGTAGCTTGGCTCACTCAATACTGCTGTCAGTGAAGGAGAAAATATAGCAACTGTTGGCTACAAAGGACCAATTCACAGGATCATAATGAATTCTAATTTATTGTATGGGATGTGAAGTTACCAATAAAATCATAAATGCAAACTTTGAGTTATGGGGAGTACAGGCCACCTTGACACACACTGACACACACATACACACACAATTGCTACAATAGTAGTGTAGCACCGATGTTGGTTTATACCTATCTGGGATGCTGGAGGCTGCTGTTGATGGCCAGTTTCCTCCAGGGCAATGTCTGGATATCCAGAAGGGGGTCGCCTGCTTGTCCTTCTGTCCTGGTAAGTTGGGTGCTGGATGAGTGGGGCACCACTGAGGGTCACCCTTCATTGCCTTTTATCCCTTTCTGGCAGACTTCTGTGATCCACCAGCATCATGTTGGCTGCCCAGTCCAGAGGTTGCTGTCCCACATGGGTCTTGAGTAGTGTGTGACATCTGTTAGTCACAGTCACTGGGGCTTTTGCCCAATGGTGTAATTTTGGGAGTCTACCCTTGACATCATTGATTCAGTGGCTGTGTCCTTGCAGGTTTTAGGTGGCTTGACTAGCTTAAAATGGCTTGTAGAATTTTATGATTGTAAGTTCCTCTGGTTAGGCTATTGTCAACAGCCAGAGGTTCTTGCTTTGTCATTCAACTACCTATTGACTCATACTCACATTCACTCAAGGGACCAGCCCAATATAGCAAATTTTATCACTTTACAATTACAATTTCAATGCAGTTTTTAACAATGGTCCAGGGTGTAACTTCATTCTACAGGGAGTACATTCCTTAAGGGCTTAAAAGCATAAAATATAACATACAAAATGCCACAGCAAAGATGAGACAGATGAAATATAAAAATGCACTGTGACAAGTATATAAAAATGTAACATGAGGTAGTGAAGATCAAAGGCTCCTGGGGACAGTAAGTGAGTTAGGTTAGTACCCGGACATATTTACAGACTTCAAAGTGGATATTTTAGTTCTTTTGTTTTCTTTAGTGATACTTAGCTCAATCGATATGTAGGTGTAGTTTGTAGGTTTCTCCTACAGAAAGCCACTTCAGCTTTCTGGATTGCTCTGAGCCTTGCCACACCTGTGCAATGAATGGGCTAGGTCTCTGCCAGTACTCAGAAGGAAAAAGAAATGCACAAAGTGGGAGGTGCAGGCAAGAAGGGGCTTCTTGTTACACAACCATGAAAGGAAAAGGAAGAAAAGAGCAGAACCGAGAACAGCATTTTCAAACGTCCTCCGGGCTCTCTGATGACATGCACAGTTATTAGTTCATCTATCATTCTTTTTCTTCTGAAGAAGCACCCTGCATGCTGTTCTTACCTCTCACAGAAAGTGTCATAATGGGTAAAACTATAAGAAAATCTTCTCTTTCTCTCTCTTCCTGCCCAACACTGGAAGTTGAGTGCTACTGTTACTGCTTTCTATGAAGTCAGAGCAGGCCTGAGTGTTGGGGGATGGATGTCGGGGGTGGATCCAGAGGGGGGCAGTGGCATGGTTGCACCCCCTTTTCAAACTAGACTTTGCTGCTGGAGCCTTGTGGGGATTCTGAAAAAGTCTCCAAACTGGAAGAGAATCCCCTCCCTTCCCCTCTGTAGTCAGAGGCATGTCCCCTCCTTTACTGTCCCCTTCCTCTATCCCCTTCCCCTGCCATGGTTTTTTCTATGGTACTGGGAGTGGGGGAATCTTCAGAGCTCTTCCTGCCTGCTCCATCTGAGCTGTGTGGGAGCTAGGCTCATGTATGGCAGCCACGGCAGTAGCAGCAACTTCCCTCACTTACTTCTGGGGAGATCAGGCAGTGTGGGGAACCCACCCCCTTCCAATTCCTGCTTCCCCTATCCCAACACAGCCTGGCTCAAGTGGACAGAAACACTCTGAAGCATCTCCTGCCCCTGGGACAGTGGGGAGAACAGCAGCAAGTGGAGCTGAAGCAAGCTGTAAGAGATCTATACTAATTATTAGGGCTGTGCAAAATAGCACTGTCTGTTTTGACTTGTGTTTCGACGGAACAGTGTTCTGTTTTGAATTTCATTTAATTTTGAAACTACTGTTCTGTTTTGTTTCGTCAGAACAGTTTCGCTGTTTCGATGTTGTTTCAATGTTTCGCCCATAGGCTGTAATGGGGAAGCTCAAAACAGCCTATAACTTTATCATTTCTGGCCTGATTTGGATGAAACTTGCAGGAATGGTAGCCCCTTCTGAGGGCATGAAGCCTGCCATGTTTCAAGGAGATAGGTGCAGGGGTTTCAGGGAAAGTTCACCTCAGATTCTTGAAAGCAAAAAACTCTCATGTCACATGCATGTGTTAAGCCACAGGGGGGTCGAAACTGCAGGCATGCTAGCCCCTGCTGAGGCCACAAAGCCTGCCAAGATACAAGGAGATGGGTGCAGGGGCTTGGGGGAAACTGCACCTCAAGCTGCAGACAAGCAAAACTCATGACATGGGTGACAATCTGTTTGTTAAGGCACAGCAGGGTGAAAGCTGCAGGGATGCTAGCCCCTGCTGAGGCTTTGAAGCCTGCCAGCTGTCAAGGAGATTGGTGCAGGGCTTCTGGGTTCTGGGGCCCTGCACCTCTGGCTGCTGACAGGCAAAACTCATGTCATGGGTGCTTGTGAGACTGTCTGTCTTGGGGTAGATGGGGGTGAAAGCTGCAGGCCTGCTAGGCCCTGCTGCGGCCGCAAAGCCTGCCAGCTGTCAAGGAGATAGGTGCAGGGGATTCTGGGTTCTGGGGCCCTGCACCTCTAGCTGCTGACAGGCAAAACTCGTGGCATGGGTGGGTGACACTGTGTGTGGTAAGGTGTGCCGTCACTTGGCTGACACCAAGGGAGAAAGCAGGGCACTTCAAGCAGTGCTGTCAATGTTTCAACTTGCCTCATTTCATTTCAAGGCTGTTTTGAAGCTCTGTTTCATTTAGATTTCGCTGTTTCGAGCTCAAAACAAGTAGAAACAGCATTGAAACAAAACTGCCGGTGCAATTTTGCACAGGCCTACTAATTATAATCATGAACATCTAGTATGTGAGTCTTTAAAGTCTGTTTCTGTTGCTGTATGTGTGCTGCAACGTGCAATAAACAGCAGACTGACCACCAGGAAGTTTCCTTTGAGAAAAATGGCATTTTAAATGGCCCTTGTGGCTTCAGCTGTACTGAAGTTTGAAACGGCAACCTCATTGCTCCAGAATATTCTCTGTATTGTTTTGTTAGACGTTCAGTCTGAGTTTGAATGGTCCAATAGGATAAGACAGGCAATCTGGCTATATATATATATATCATTGACTTTGTCAGTTTAACTTAGCAGTTGCTAGAAGCAAGGAGGTCCAATAAATTAACACACATGCAGTCTCTGCACATAAACTTGCCACAATTTCTTTTTGGCTTCTTAAATCTCTGCAACAGTAAGTGGCTTTGAGTTTGTAAAGTGGAGAACAACAGCCATGTGACTGACCTCTGCGATGTTAAAAACTTTGCCGTTAAGACTGACAGCCAGTGCTGACTCTGTTCCACTTGTTAAGGAAGCTTTGTTTTGCTAGACTGTACCAAATATAGTACAGCGTAGCAGCTGCATGCCTCTAATTTAATAAAGACTTTGACTGATGTTAGATTCTTGGGTGAGTGGCTGTGGCCATTACTTTAAGATTACTTTTTTTTTCTCCCCCGAGCCTTTGAAACCTAAAAGACAAAAGTTCCCCCTACCACTTCCAGCCCTTTAATCCCATCTTTCTTTTAAAAATATAAAAAAGGTGATATACTATATAGTCTTATGACTCCCAAAGGTTCAGACATATATAAAAAATATGTTCTATGTCTGTTACGACCATAACATCATGCATCTTGCTGTTAGAAAGTAACTGACTCCTGTACTAAGTTCTGGATGTTGGCCCTGCAGAGCAGTTGGTGAAGGCATGTTTTCAGTTATTCAATTACTCAGAACAACTTTCTGCTGTTGCTCATTCAAAAACGTGGAAATTCATGTGTCAGAGTCTGTGCTGACAAAGCCTTTGCTTGAAAACATTAACATTTTTTTTAAATAACCAGTAAGATTCTGTGAAAAAAACACTATTGAGGGCTTTGTCTAAAGTGTGCTTAGTTCAGCTCACCAGAGGGGCAAAGTGCACCAAGTCAAGCCACCATCTGAGCTGGTTGTCCACTAACCATTGTGACTGAATAATCAGAGGTAGCCTGTTGCCACACTACTCCCACCCAACACAACCCCCTGCCACATGGTTGTAAGTATGTCACAGGTCATGCCTTCTTCTCTGCAATATCTGTACTGGGAACATTCCTTGTGGGCTATTTCTATTGGGTTTATGGCCCTTTAAATTGTTAAAATAATATAAACGGGCTAGGAAGGAGCAGAAAAATAGATTCCATCTGCCTCTGGTAAGTATTTTGTACAGTCAAACCTTTTCTCTACTTCTGTCATTGTCACTTAAAAGTCATTAAAATCTTCACCCCCCCCATGATCCACAGATCACCTAATGGCTTGTCTTTCAGGTAGTTCTGCTTGCTCAGATTTTCTTCTGCTGCTTGTTGTTGCTGGAAAATGTGTGAGAGTAGCTACTTACTGGCTTTTATGACAATAGGACTGTGATTGGACAATTAAAAACAAATGCCCATTAGTGGCGGGCAATTTTAACAACTTTTATATTCTTTAGAATTTGCTTGTGTACTGCAGTGTTTAACAGCACATGCAAATTATTCCAAACAAAAATTAGTTCTCAATTTGAATGCTTAATTAGCATGCTTCAGAATTTGGAGGGAGCACTAAGATTAGGATATTTTGAGAATAGTCACAATGTTGAGCAAAAAGAGTAACAAGAATCATTTAGTAGTAAAGAGGCTCATTAAATGCTTTACTGTAAGCATTAAGGGGAACACTAAAGAAGGTCTTTGTCATGCTGGAATGCATTTTGCTACTGTAACGGAACAGGAGGCAGCATGAAACCTCCTTCCTCCATTTCCCTCTGTGAATGGAATTAATTCCAAACCACTGGATTTTTAGTTTAGTATTTTAAAAACAATCAATGTCATAAGGAAAAACAAATTAACTTTTGCTAACTCATAGATTGATGTTCACCCACAAAATTAAATGCTAGAATACAAACAGTAGAGGAAATGTTGTTAGCATGATTTAGTGTGCAAGGCAGAAATATATGAATACAATAACATATTATTTACATACCCCAAGCATAAATCTAAGCCAGTTGACCATCGATACATGCAAATGTCTATAACATTGAAAATAATGCAGTTTCAAAGTTAACCACTTTGGCTAGTAGTGAAAATCCCTTGTGTTTTATTAATTGGACATATACAAGCATTATCCTTGTTGACTTTTCCTGTGAGCCTAAGTACTGCTTTTGGTATTCTGTATGTAAGGTTAATAATGTTTAAATACAAAAGTAAGCTTGGACTGAAGATCTTACAGTGTGACTCGACCAAACACAATATACTAGAACCACAAAAAAGCCAAGACAGATAAAGACAAAGCCCTGCTTGTACAGTATCTAAAAAATAGTATAAAAAAGCTTGACAGACTTTTCTTAACATAACCTGCTGTCCTTAACATAACCTTTGTTTTAGTTCATGTTAAGACCACATGTGGTGAATGGTTTGAATACACAACTTACCATACCACAGATGATCTTGGTCATCTAACCTAGAGACAGCTGCATCTCCATATGGAGAAGAGGATAGAGCTGCTTGGCTCCATTTGACCATTAGGTCCCAGTCCTTCAAATATTTACACACAGGTGGTGCCACCAGAATCAATAAGGACACTCACATGCCTAAATGTTTTATAAGGTCATGGCTCTGCTGTCATTTAAAATTTTGGTCCCACATTGTTCTTGTCTAGCTTCTGTCTTGTAGTCGAGTGCTTGTAGTCCCTCTCTGGAGTCCAGTGCTTGGCTTGACAGACTACTGAATACTGTTCAGTTTGTTTGTTTGCCATAATATCCACAGGTTGGTCTTTTTACAGGAAAGAGCCTCAATCCTCTCTTCTCCCCCTGCCCCACCTTAAATACAGCAACAGTGTCCAAAACCATTCCAACTGTTCAACTGATTTACAGCTTCCCAAAGGAATTCAAATGAGAATGAAACTATAGAGGCAAGGATTTTTATAGGTGGCATCTTTTATTGGACAAACCGTATATCACCTAATAAAATTATAGTAAAATCTACTTTTAAGGGGGGTGGGGGATGGTATTACTTACAATATCAGGGTGATGAAACGAGTGTTTAATATATGAAAATAAATAGAAGGAAAAGACCCTTAGTGGGTAGAAATGATGGAAAACTAACTATAAACTCTAGTGGGTCCATTCCTTACAGCAGGACTAAATTGGTCTCCTTGTTTGCATGTACAATGGACAAGTGATGTTCCTTACGCTCTTAAACATTGTATTTTCTGTCACTGGGGCAGGTTCTTCAATGCACATGGATCAGCCTTGTTGCCAGGCTCTGTATGACTTTGAGCCAGAAAATGAAGGTGAACTTGGTTTTAAGGAAGGGGACATCATTACTTTAACCAATCAAATCGATGAAAACTGGTATGAAGGGATGTTAAATGGAGAGTCTGGCTTCTTCCCCATTAACTATGTTGAAGTGCTGGTATCCTTGCCTCAATGAACGTGTCGTCCAAGCTGTGAACATAATTTCATGACCGAAATGGATTCACAAATGTTCCATCAGTGTGGCATTCTGTGAAAGCCTTGCTCTTTGACTGACTTACTGACTTTTGTATGCGTCTTTTTTAAATGTATTTATTTTGTATTCAAGAAAATTACCTTCCTTGGTTACATGAAAATGCAAAAAAACCCTAGACCCAGTTTTTTTGCTTTGTGCCTTGAAGATCACTGTATGAAGTGTTCACTGGTAGCTCACTGTTGCTCCAACAATGCATTTCTTTGCTCCTTACTGTATGTAGATCCTTTTATTATTATTATTATTATTATTATTTTTAAAATTCTTTGGGCTGCAATGATTTTACTATTGAAAACCATTTTTAAAAATACTGTGAGTGAAGCTAACTGTAACTAGTTCCTAAGAGTTACTGATGTCATTGAGCCTTTTTCATCCATCACAGTGTAACTTAATTGTGAACTTAATCCATGTTTCACATTGTATGTTGACAAAAGGCAGCGTGCTTGTCAGTTTTAAGACGTTGTTGTACTAAGTACAAGGTCTGAGTTGCAAATTCCTAAAGTTTACTGACCAAACTTAATAAACATTACTGTGGGAGAAACATGACTGCTGCAGATGCTTACCCAGTGGTTGGTATGGTTTTGTTTTCTGCAAAAGTTTACTTTCCTTCATGGATACACTAAGGTCTTGAGGAGGAGGAGCTAGTTCATCTTTTTAAGTGATGTTATCGAGAGTAGTTCTGTGACTCTGCAGATGCTAAAATTGTTAGTTTTGGTTGCACTTTATTTACTGAAGATCATTCTTAACACTTGTTTACATTTTGTTTTATTTCGAGAGCAGGAGGACAGCAGCGCTTTTATGTATACCCATATGAACCAAGGACATACTGTTGCTAGAAAGACAGAGCCTGAATTTGATGCCACTAGAGGAGAGGTAACACTCCATTGAGATGAATGGAAGAGTAAGGGGCTACTCTCTAGCTGATAATTGAAAGGGTAATGCTGACTCACTTTTTTTTTGGTGGAGCAGAAGTAGAGAAGATGACAATCTATGCAGAGGAAAAAGACAAACATTTGTATAGGCAAGGCTGCCCAGAATCAGGAAATGGTCGTGGACAGAGGCTCAGGCTACTCAGGAGATAAAATAGGTAGTACCTTCATTTTAGAAATACCTGTTAGCATTAACCATGTTATCAATGGCCAAAACAAGTCCAGAAAGCCCAATCAGCAAGTAGTGAGCAAAGCAAACCTCCTGGCCTTTTGATTTTGAAGAAACAGCTCTGAGAGCGTGAGGCTGCCTGGCTTAACCCTGCAGCCATCAAAGGAAGCTAGATCAGAGTGATATGCCAGGGCAATCAACTCTAGGAATGAAACAGTCCATCCTGTGCATGGTATAAGTAGACATCAGTAAGACTGCCCGAGTTGCTCAGTAGTGGGGTGGTGAAAGAAGCCCTTAAACCCCTACAGGTGAGCTGTGATTCACCAGTGTCCTTGTCAGCTCACCCTCTCACACCATAAGGCTGTTGAAACCATCACAAGGGAGGAAAAAAAGCAATCCCTCTGGACAAGCTGCAAGCCAGACCCACTGACAGAGACATTTTCCAGCATTAAGTGTTAGACCACCTATACCCAGGAAGCCAGTGAAAGCCTAAGCTTTGAGATGTCAGAGACTCGCTTCATCCACTGTGATAGTCTGCTTTCAGCTTGAACTGTGAGTAATGGGATATTTCACTTAGCTGGGTAAGAGCTCTAGCTGGTGATGCAGTTAGATGTAGTGTACCCAGTGGCACATGCAGGATATGATAGACAATAATAATATGCCTGTATCCTCCTTGTTTTATAGTTCAGGCAATACTCTAGCTCTCCATCAGAAAGATGGTATGCACTGACCAGCTACAGTAAACCCTAAGATTAGGGCTAACTGCTTTTTATTGGATGGACATTTGCTATCCAGTCAGAGCAGGATGTTGAACATGGCACAGAGAGCTGCTCTATCCACTGCTGCCAGAAGTTGGAGGAGTTGCCTGCTGCAGAATTCAGGGCCCTTGGATCCCAGTGGATGTGGTGATCAGCGGCATGAAGATGTGCAAGATCTGATGCAGCCCTGGCTGCCGTCCAACTATTTTGCCCATTGCCAGTTACCCCACTGCCTAGCTGCCAAGTGTCCCATACTAGAGCCAGACGCAGAGCTACTACCCTGGCACAGGGCCGACAGTGCCAGTAGCAGCTTTGCATCTAGCATGGGGCATGCAGTAAGAACTGGAGCTGCTGCATGCCCTGGGGTGGAGCTGGCCTGCAAGGTGCCCCACAGTCTGTATCTGGCCCAGGGCACAAGGCAGATCTGACAGTCCCAAGTTAGAGGAACTGAAGATGGGACTCTGAATTTCTCTGTAGGGTTAGTCTGTTCCTGTATCTGGTTGTCTTAGTTCTTCTACTTTTAATTCCTTCCTCCCTCCTTCCCCATACTATTTCCTCCCTGCCTCTTTTCCCCTTTGTTTGCCTTTGATTTGTTGTCTCCTTTAAGCTGCATATTAGTTTACTCACCCAAGCAGTAGGTAAAAGACAGTGTAGACCAAGAATACCATATAACCCTAGCACTCTAAGGCCTAGAGCATAACCAAGAGGTGGCAAACAATGAGGAGCAGATAGGATTGCTCTGGCTGGGTCAGAAGCAACTACAGTTTGAAAGAGACTTAGGAAAAAACAACCACCACCTCTTTCCTGCAAGGTGAGAATTTAGGTAGACACAGAGATAGAAGTTATTGGTACAAAAATAAATTATGGCCATTTGGCAGCTTGAGCAACATAAATGAAGATTCAGAGGATTTAGAGTCCTAAAATAGTCTTTGCTAATTTACATACTAGAACCACCTCTAGAGGTTATAGTCTTCATCTTCCCAGAGATGTGAGCTTAGCTGGTAGTGTTGGTACTCAGTTCAGTTACAGTCTCCAAAAGGCTACATTTAGGATTTTTCTAAATGCAAAATCTTCCTGAGGAAATGTTTGGCTGATCTAATATAGTTTGGGATGTTGGCGGTTGTGAAATTGAAGATTTTATCAGTGTTCTGCTTTGCATTAGCATAATGCAGAGAGAAATTGTGGTTCAGGATTGTTTTGACGGTTTATGTATGCTGTTTAAAGGCTAACAAAAGCCCTATGATAAAGTACACAAAATTAAGTTGTAGTGTTGGATTTCTTATGATTATATATAAATATACAAATACATTTCATCTAAACATTGTGCTGGATCACACTTATCTAATGTGACACTGTTGGAGTTGTAGAAAAACTTCTCTATGTAGATTAAGTTGATTGCAATTCAGCTTTATTCAGAAAGTTTAGGGAACGTGAGCCATGTGCAACAGATTGTATAGCAGCTTACTCTGTTGTTGAAGACTTCTTCCATCTGCTCTTTACAGAGAGGGCGACTTTCCCTAGCTCTTCAGCTGCATCCCTTCAATCCTCCTAGCCAAGTTAGGATGTACAGATAATACAGATGTTCCAAAGCTGTTTGCTGAACATTAAAGCCCAAGAGGGATAGTATACATGGAAAATATCTTTAATAGTAAAAAATTTAACAGACCAAAATAATAAACATATAGTAAGATTATAAACAGAACCCATTTTAAAGTGACAAGGTGCAATGAAGCAAAGGTTTTGGATTGCTAAAATATGCAAAGCCAAGGTGTCAAAAGATTTAAAATCCATGTAGGGTTTTTTTTAAACTAGTTTATCAAAGGGAACTCTAAAGCAGTCAAAGAAGAGCTTTACATTAAAAGCCATATCCTAACATGGAACAGATCTTGGATTCAAACATACTATACTATATTGCAAAGATTTTGGCAAGGCAACAAAGAAGTCTGAAAGCTGTTCCAGTAGGCTGCATCATCCACTTTTTTTTTTTTTTTTTTAAAAGAGGGGAGCGATCAGGGAAGCAGAATTCAGTGTTGGTTAAGCAGCCCTGCAGGAGTCCTTGTTTTTCCACACCACAACACAGCTAAGTAAGCCTCTCAGTAACAGAAAAAGCTGGGGTTCTACTGTAGCAGTTACCCATGACCTCTCCTGCCATCTCCCTGAAGTTAACTGTACCTTGTCATGCTACTATACATTAATCTGTCGAATGTCACAGTTTCCTAATCTTTTGCCAAAAGGGAAGTGCCCTTCAACCCAGTCAAGTATACATCGTGGCAATGTAAACCCAACACTACCACCTTCTTCTTTATACTTTGCACAGTTAATAGAGGAGCACTTTAAAGGGAGCCCTCTGGCTATACAAAACTGTCTAGTGCCTTTAGTTCCATTCCCCTTAAAAAACTTGATTACTTGGCAGTGTTAGAACATAATATTGCTGTGTATATAGTATTGCTGAGTAGCTTTTAGGTTGGCAAGGGGTTTCTTTGCTCATTCATGTAAACCCAGGTATCCAACGCAAATTTCCAACACAATGTTGATAGAAGCTATGTAATGGTGTACAGGTTTAGTAAAACTCAATAAATAAGTTTATAGATTGCCAGGCAGCAGCATATAGTAACAGTATATTATACTTTAACTACAAGTTTAAAAGAACAGTTTATAAATAGCTTCCCAATTTTAAAACTTCACATATTCTAATAGATAATTCTAACAATTGGCTTAGATCTGTTGCCTGCCCTGTGATGAGCGACTCCAAGAAAGTTCTATTTCAATGACTAAGAACTCCCAACAATAACTTTTTGCCTTACCCTGACTTCAGTGAAGTTTTTCAAAGTGCAAGTCAGGGCAGAATTTGGCTCACTTTAGTCATACTTGAAACAATATTATTTCTTCAAAGGCTGCTTTACGAAAGAACTTTTAAAGAAGCAAGATAAAGAATGGTCAATGATCACAAATATAAAGGGTTGTTAATGGTCAATGATCACAAATATAAAGGGTTGTTAAGGTAAAGACATAGCCAGCAAAAATTACATGAATTGTATACACCTGTCCTTTGTAACAAGTTGTGGGTGGATAGTTCACAGAACTCCTCATTTTTAAAAGCCTTTTTTCTTCATAAAGGAAGTCTGCTCTAGTTTATACTGTTACGTCCAAAATAGAGTAAAATAATATCATTTGACAAGGTTTCACATTCTGGAGGGCATCTCTCAAATAGGTAAAGGGGAGCGAGGGAGAGGACAGGGGAAAAGTCTGAGGATCATAGATTCCAGAAGTTGCTGAAGTTCAGGAGCATTTTAGATGGTCACTGCCTTTGTTTAGTTACATGACAGAACAGCTAGGATCTTCATTTTGCTGAAGACACTATAAAAAGAGATATTAAATAGCATAATGAATTATTAGTTTCATATACTTGAACTTAATTTCAAATGAGACAGGAGCTGGGTGTGGGTATGCAAGTGCACATACCATGCTCTCTCTCTCTCTCTCTCTCACATACACACACTTAAGGGTTTAGTTGCTTTTACCTACTAAAAATCAATTTAGTTCTGTTCTATAGAAGCTCTGAATTATAAATACAGAAATTTAAATCCTTTAATATTAGCATTAAGCTGGAGTGTAGTGGATGGCTACCAAACTTTCAACTGCTCAAAATAAAAGTAAAGTAGTTTGATAAATTAAAACTTGTCGTGCATGTCAAATCATGCTTTAG